GGGAAGGCGGCGATCTACGAGCCTGGGCCCATCGCGCAGTGTTGAGCCAAACACAGAGAAACCCAAAACCTCATAACTGCACGAAGAGGCAGGAGCAACAGCAGTGCAAATGACATGTGGGGGACCTTTATTTGCCTCTGTTTTTGGGGGCCCTGGACTTAAAACCTACCAAGCTTTTGAACGCGCAATTTCACGCCACAAAGCCGAGACCGCTGTTTCACGAGCACGGGCAGCCGCTCTCATGCCACCAGCGCAGTCATCGACGCCGGGATGCGCGACCGAGGCCGAGCCCCAGGCCACGGACAACATCGCGTGCAAGTGAGATCTCACTCGTAACGGCTGCCATGTTATCGTTCCTTGCTGCATTAAGTCTATTGCTTGTGTCGTAAGAATCGCGGCCAGCTGCAATCGCAAGGCGCGACGCACCGTCAAGCCTGGAGCTCGAGATCTGACTGCCGAAACCGTCGATGCACGACATACACCGCAAACCAGCAACACATGCATCCATGCATCACACAAACCGGCCGCAATCACATTATGCTGACATCGTTAAAGCAATCACCTGCTGGCGACCCGAATTCTTCATGCGCGACCCCTTCTGAATGGCACTGCCCCAACCGCAACACTCGAAGAGCCCTCCATGCATTGAGACGGCATGTCAATCTGAGAAACTCACCCCGGAGCTCGAGAAAGTGGATCGTTTAATCGCATTTGGAATAGTCGGCTATCAGAAGGACACTGAAGCGGCACGCAACTACATCAGCTTAAGCTCGCGCCGCCTGCGCCCACGCAAAGTCCACGGAACTCCTCCCCCGACTAGCCCCCCAGTGCCCGCGCTTCACCTCCTCCATAAGGGAACCTAGCATCGACCGCCGCAGCCTCTGCCAGATCCGATACATGCTACAACATGGCACTATCAGCCTATGGCCAGTGGGGAGCTTAGGCAACATTGGCATCACCACCCAAAGTAACGATTTAGGTAAAAAGCTGTTCGCCTCACAGCGCTGCCGCGAGCCTGCTAGCAAATCGAGGCCTTCACCATCGAGCAACATGGAGTGCCTCGGATGAACTGGTCCAAGGACCTGGCCGCGGACCCCAAGAAACTCTGGATAACCTTGCGCACCTCGCCTGGGGCCACTCAAAAAACTCTGGCCGATCAGGGATCCAGGCAACCGGTAAGGAGGCGGTTGCTCGCCAGAGCTTCCCGCATACTTGCAGCTCATACTGCGCTACGCCGTAAGGACCAGCGCTGGGGCCTTCAGGGTCGTGCACAACCGTAAGCGAAACAAAGCTCCGAACTTCCGTGACCTTGTGAAAGCCCCGAGCTCCCCCCATACTAGCCCGCTTGCACCTATCGCCCCAGCTGTTCTGGATCTCTTTTAACGCGCCTTTGGCTGCGACCGAAGGATCAGCATCTATGTCTTCGCGAAGCTCCTCAACGGTCTCAAGTAAATTCAGAACGCAACATTCTGCGCGCTTGGTTGACCCCATGATCAAGCCGAGCGCTTAGACCGAGCCCTGGATGAATCAAGCCCGAGACCTAGCACGGTTGGCTAGGGCTAGCGACTGCATTCCGCATCCACTGCAAGCCATCAACAATTAAACGCTTCTCGCTTTCGCGAGGCAAGGAGCACTCGACGTTGACCCAGCGCGGCGCAACTTGGCGCCCGAAGCCACCAAAGTGATCTTTCGCATCACGAGTGCAGGCGCCGATGTGCCGAACAGCGATCTGGGCGCACCGGCCCCAAATAAAGCTGAATAAATGATGTGCTACCCCGTGGATCGGCCTCCTCATCGCTCGCCAACTCCACGCAGTGCTCCACCGACCCCCTAGCAGGTACCCAATCAGGCGGCGAGGGCTGAGGGCCGAACGGGGGTGCCATTGGCAGAGCAGGGGCTACAGTATATCCTACATGCTGCGCGCGGTACCCTTGGCTGGCCATGGCTGCATGCACGGGTCTACGTGGCCTGGTCGACCATCGCGGGCCTGAGTTTAACATGCCTGTTCGCGCGCGCGCGCGGATCACTGAGCCCGAAAAACTAGATCGCCGAGCTACCTGCGCCACCGTGACAGGCGCGCAGCTTCGTTGCAGCAAGAGTGGCACCTGCAAAGCAACAGAAGCCAGGCGCCTCAACCTCACCAGGGGCCACGCTCCAATCACCTCCAACAGCGCATGGCCCTTCGACGCCCTCAGCAACTGCGCCTGCAGCCGCCATCAGCGCGGCATTCTTGCCCTAAGGGCCTATGCTTAGATACAGGTATAAGATGAAAAGGTGGGGCGAGGGCCGACCTGGGAGATCGAGCTGCACGCGCTGCGCGCGACGCTCACACACTTCGTGACAGCCTAACTGCGGCGCGCGCAGGCCGCGCGCACTGCGCGCATAGACTGTCGCACGTGCGCTGGGCGCACTGCCTGCGCGCGGAAAGGAGGGCAAGGCAATGCGACTCCAGCCGCGCGCCTGCGCCCAGCTCTGAATCGCCTCCACGTGACCAGCTGCATGTCCGAAGCCCTTGCGCAAACAACACTAAGGTTCGAGTTGTCCTCAGTCTCTCCTTAAGAGTGCCCTTGCCACCAGTGCAATTGAGGGTCTCCAGCACGCGCCCGCCCGCATCTCGCCCAACAGCAGGCTGCGACGGCGGGGACACTGACGGGCGATAAGGTCACGAGCGGCAGAAGGCAAACATGGTCATCGTACTCTCGCACAGGGGCAGGAGCACCTGCCCCATGGAATGGGCGCGGCGCCCTCGGCAGTCGGCCCTGCAAGGAAGGCGCGCCTTGCACTCTCGCCCCCCTCGCCGAGAAGAGGACGAACAGCAGCTGCAGCTTGCCCGTCATTGGGCCATGTCGTCTGGCGCGAATAAGACGAACTATCCGACCAATCACGCACATGAAGCACACCTGGCGCAGCAACGGCAGGAATGCCGCGCCCTCTCGGTGCTGTAGAGCTCCTCCAACTTCGCAGCGAAATTCTCGAAGCGATTGCAGTTGGCCCAGGGATTCTTTCGTTCCTCCTCAGAAAGCTCGCTGAGCTCATTGCTGCGCTTGTGCTTGGCAGCGTCGGCAGCGGCATCCTCTCGGCCTGGCTGGCCGCCTGCATCAACCCGAGCACCATCGCCTTTGCACAAGCAGCAGCAGCGCCCTCGGAGCCCATGCCAACATCGGGGGTCGCTTCCTTGTGCACAACGCGGATGTGCTCCTGCAGCTTCGTCCATATCTCGCTCTTGAGGAACGCCTCAGCCTCTTGGTGTTTCTGCTTTTGAGGTGCCGATGTAAAATGAAGCAGCACTCATCCTGGCACTGGTGCTTTGCTGTCGCCTCCGCCACTGGCTTTGTCTGAGACCAGCGACGCCGTCCTGTCGAACTGAGTTTGCAAAGTGACCACCTGCTCCATCTTGGCGGCCAAGGATTGCTCACGCTCCTCGGTCGACACACGCAACTTTTCATATTGGCCACGCTTCTCCGCCAAGTCCTTCGCCAACTGCTCGGCAACCACCTTCGCCTTTCTGGGCGACGGGCCGTCTGCGGCGGCCGCAGCAGCTTCTGCTGGTCCCGCAAGTCCGCGAGCTTCTTCTCCATACTGTCCCGGATGAGATCATCGTATATAGCCTTCGACTTGATCGACGCTTCCAACTCCTGAACTTGCAGCGCAACTTTAGCTCGTCGCCCTTCATCACTTTCAGGAGCCGCTGTGCTGGCTGCCGCTCGGACCATGGTAGCTGCCTCCGACGTTCACGGTGGGGTCGACGGAGGTTGGGTAGAGCTCGTAACTGTACTTTTGGTGAGCGAAGCGACCAAGGAACTCAGTTTCTTTTTCAACGCAGTGAACTTGTCTCCTTTGTGTCCGCCTTTACTCTCAGCCTGGTCACGTCCTTTGCCTTTTACCACGGGCTTTGCCACCACTCTTGTCCAGCTGCTGCCAACAGATTTATGGGCAATGACAGCTCGGGCACGGATGTGTGCAGGCGCCGGCCGCCCGCACTCGCAATTGATCTTCGACGCCTCGTTGTGCAAGTGCGCGCATGAACCACATGACCACTCGGGTTTCCTCGGGCCCAATAGGACACCCCACTCCTTCTCATCAGGGGTCGGGGCCATCCGCTGGCCGGATCTGCTTCTTCCTGCTCCGCCAGGAGCTCACGAATGCCTCGACGAGGCGAAAACTCTACTTCGCCAGGAGCTCACAACATGCCAGGTCGAGGCAGCCAGGCCTTGGCAAGGGGCTGCCCTTCCACCTCGACCTCGAGCCTCTGGAGTCGGGACGGGGAGGTAAGCTCCCGTCTTGAGCCACAATGGCTACGGGGCGGGCAGCAGGGAGGGGATGACGGCGCGAGAGGTGAGGGACGGACGGAGGGTAGGGTGCAGAGGGAGGACGCGGTGCAGGATGGAGGCTGAGGCACCCCGTCGTGCCCCCGGAGGATGATGATGAGGAGGAGGAGAAGGAGGAGGAAGGAGGAGGGGAAGGAGGAGGAGGAGGATGGGAAGGTGGAGGAGGGGAAAGGGGAGAGCGGCAAAAATGAGGAAGGATTTGGATCCAGAAGAGCGGCCCGCGGAGGAGAGGGAGGAAGAGGAGGGGGAGAGGGGGATGGGCAAGTTCCGTCGGACGCTCAATCACCCTCCCATTACAAACAGATGCCCCATCCAGGGTATAGCGGCCTCCTGCATGGGTTCCGAGTAGATGGGGTCGGAGCCTCGCACCGCATCGCCAATGCATCGGCGCCGTCGGTGTGGAGAACATCGGGCTCCGAATTGAACCGCATCGGCGATGCATCGGCGATGTGGCGCGATCCTCCGACCCCATCTACCATCAACCCGTGTAATCAGCATGCGCGGTAAGAATGCAAGGGCCTTGGAAGGCCATATCGACGTTTTGGGGGCGGGGCGCGGACAGCGAAAGCGGCCAGCGATGGGCCGAAAGGAAAGGATGCAAGGGTAACCCTTGGGAAGGTTGACTGTACTCGGGCCCAACCTGGAAAGCCTGGAGAGTATCGTCGGAGATCTGTGCTGCCGCCGCACACCGCCCAAGGCTCGCAGATCTCCCTCCCCCAGGGCGGGCCCGGGCGCGCGCGCGCGCGAGCGGGCGTCGCGCCTACGCCCCAGCGCCCCGGGATCTCTGCGCGCCTGACCCTCCTGGGATGCGCTCTGTCCAGGAGCTCGAGGCGCACCCAGCGACGGCGACGAGGGCCTCCCAGGAGGGCCCCCGGAGACGAAGGCCGGGCGAGGGTGGCGGTGGCGGTACCGGCACCTCTTCCTCCTCGGACTTACGGCTCGGGGGGCCTGCGCCTCAAGGGTGACCTGGGCAAAAGAATGGCCCTGGGTGCTCGGAGGCAGGGGGCGCAACACGGCCAAATCCAAAGTGCGCGAGCAGCCGCCATCGCAAAACGCTCAACGATCGTGGGGGCCCCGATGGGCCCGCAGCAAAGGTTAGGCGGCGAGCCAGGGGGGGAAGTGAGAAGGGGCGTGTCTTCTCAGAAGGCTGGGAAGTCACCCGGACTTCTGAGAAGTTTTCTAAGCCTTCCCCGAAGACAAGAAAAACTTCTCAGAAGGCGCGAGGGCTTCTGAGAAGTCCCGCCGCCTTCTGAGAAGGCCTTCTCCTTCTCAGTTCCCCCCCTCGCTCGCCGCCGAAAGGTCACTCCGGCGAAGGGTCCCTCTTACGTGCAGTCGGGGGTAGCGATGGCGGCACCTCCTCTTCCTCCGACCTACTGCTCGGGGGCCCTGCGCCTCCACCACTCCACCGAGGGGTGCTCCTCGCCCAGCCACGCGGCCAGGTGCCCCAGCGCGGCCCCGTGCAGCTGCAGCGCCTCCTCGGGCGCCGTGCTCCCCTCCAGCGCGAGGCGAGTGGCCTGTAGGCGCATACGGTCCGCTGCAGCCGGACCTGGGCCGTAATGACATCCTTCAAGAGCACGAGACCCTCCGCCGGCCAGAACACGCACGAGCATCCGAAGGTACCCTCCCCAGGGTGCAGAATTAAGAGCATCCAACAAGCACGAACAATAGCAGGGCACCCTCCCCGAACCGAACTCGATCTTATACCTCGGTCCGACTGTGCCGCGCTTGCAGCGGTTCGTGTACGTGCGTCGGGCGCGAAACGATCACTGGGGCCCTCCGACGGACGGAGCCCCAGAAAGCGCTCATTCTGGTGACCAGGACCCTGCGTCTGGCCTTTACAAGCAAGCAATTGTCCCAAAAACGAGGCTTGCGGATGTGGGGCTCCGTGAACCCTCCCCCCCACCCCCCCCGCCCAAAAGGCTCCCCCACCGCGCCGGCCCGAGCGCGAGGGCGCAACCGCGCGGCAGCGCAACTGGATACCGGTACCACTGCCCGTGCCTCGTTCTCGCTTTTTTGGTCCTCCTGGGAGGCCCTCGTCGCCACGGCTGGACTCGCCTCGGAAACCTTGTCAGAACGCACCCCGGGGGCAGCGGTATCCGCAAAAAATTTGGCCAGGTCCGACGAGTGGCAATATCCGCGCGGCCTGGAAGCGCATGGAGTGCGCAAGGATACCCTCCTGTCGGGGCGGTGCCAGAAGTGTCCATGGCCGACGGTGCCCCGGGATGCTCGTGTCGAAATTTGGATCTCTCTGAGGCCCCCCCGGGCCCCGTGACGGGTGGGGCTCTGCAGGCCACCTGGGCATCCCTGGAACGTATCCCTGGAAAGTGAGGGTGCACGGTCGGGGGGATGGCTGGCGCACGAGGGGGAAACTCGACCAGGAGTCGAAAAAAACTTATCGCCGATGGATTGGCAGTACGACCCCGATGGCAGCAGATCCGAACGCTGGGAGAAAGGTTTGGGCTATCGGACCCCTATCGGCGACGAGTGCCTGGGCGACCGGGGGGTCCTGGCGCACACCCTGAGATTTTTTGAGATCTCAAAAAACACTTGGAATTGATTTTGATATTTTAATATCGTTTATTCAATTTGATATTTTCGCATAGCCACAATATTTTTCAATATCGGAAACGAGATTTTGATATTTCGAGATTTCAAGCCTTAAATTGATATTTGGATGCTCTGGGTGAGAGCAGTGTCCCCCGGTGCCACTCGGGCCACTGCTCAGCTCTCCGCCGGCTGCTCGGGGGGATCCGGGGCACTCCTGGAACGCTCTCTCGGCGGGGCGCAGCCGCTGGAAGGCACCCCCGAGGCCGGAAAACCGCCGAGCCCCCCCCCCCCCTAACGATGCCCCCGAGAAGTCCTGGGGAGACCTCAAGCCTCCTCCTCCTCCTCCTCCTCCTCCTCCTCCTCCTCCTCCTCCTCCTCCTCCCCCTCCGCCCTCTCGATCCGCGACCCTCCTCCATGCCCGGCAAGCCCGCGCCCGCCGCGCCCGCCGCGCCGCCTCGAACAACAGTGCTACGTTTGCAGATCATGTCGAAACATCGTAAAGGAGACTTCCCTGTGTTCTGATCCGGGCCAGTGTCTGTTGGTCCTGGGGCCCAGAAGCATCCCCTGGAGGCCAACACATACCAAAAACCAAGGGCGACGGGAACAACTTTTACGTCGCAGCGCGGCAGAAACAGTCCGCACGTGCGCTCGGGCAAGCCGGGGGACGGCATCGCTAATTCAGCAAGAGCAGGAAAAAGGAGGAGAAACGGCCGCGGGACAGGGAGGAGAAAAATCGACGATGCGGGTTGCACGACTTCTCCAGGGCAGCAGTGCAGGGACGCCCCTGGCACCGACCCGGTCCTCGTCGTAGAGCCGCAGCAGCTCCTGCAGAGCCTCCGGCGCTGGCCGCGCCGCATCCTCCGCACCGCCGCTGCAGAGGCCCCGCCACACGTGGCCCATCCGCGCCCGCCGCTCGTCGCTCCGCTGCGCCTCCTCGCCCTGGAGGCGACACACCTCGACTGCACGCAGGAAGGGCCCTACAGTCAACCCGTGTAATGAGGACGCGCGATAAGGATGCGAGGGCCTTGGAACGCCCAGTCGACACCTTGCGAGCGGGGTGCGGCCAGCGAAGGCGGCCAAGGCTGGGCCGAAGGGGAAGGATGCAAAGATAGCCTTGGAAAGCTGCTAATCCAAACTAAGTATGCGGGTTGGCTGACGGCAAGAGTGAATTTTGGAGGCTAATTTTATCGTAAGCCACTCTTGACGGAAAGCTCTGATGTCCCAGCGCCTTACTTGCTTCGGGGCATTAAGGACTGACACGGCTGCCGAAGTAGGATGCTCCCTCCGCCTCCTCCCACCGATCCTCCTCGGGTTTTTCTCATCGATTCGGGCTGTCGCCGTTGCTGCTGCCCTTACTGCCTGCCGCTGGTGCAGCTGCTGCTCGTCGTCGTGGAGGTCGTGCACAGCAGGCAGAGCAAGCGAAGCCCGACAGGCTCGTTGGACCAACCGCATCACCAGACTGGCCAAACCGGATACAGTAGCCAGTCGACCAAACAACCAAGACCAACCAATCAACCGGACCAGACCAAACCAAGCAGACCAGACCCAACGAACCAGATGGACTGCATGACCGGTTAAACCAGACAAGACCTAGGCAAAAACGAATCATGGATAAGCATCTTCGGGGAATGAACTTGCCAGCGAAACCTTCAACATCAAGCGAACAGGCTTTGGTGTAACACCAGCGCGTTCCCGAAAAAGGCCCCGCGCGCATGCCCAGGACGAGTCAGCAGTCCAAACCTCCGAGATAACCTCAAGGGGAGCTTTACGAATCAATCCTTGTTTGTTTCGAACTATTCTTCGTCACATGACTACTACAAGCGGTTGCTATTTCTATCGCCCACGTGCTCCCCGACATATGTCCACCGCGCATCCGAGAATAGCTGGTTTGATAGCTGGTCCAAGCAATAAGCCACGCGTGAGTTCTGAGATACCCTCAACACACCTTCCGACGGCGTGACATGGGCAAGAACATCTGAAAACAACCAACAATAAAACCCCTGGGCCTCCAAGACATCAGTAATCATCGCAAAAACGGCCTTGAAGCATCACAAGAAGGCCCCAAGTCGGTTCAGAGAGACCACTAGGCGGCTTCCGATGACTTCAGAAGAGCTCAGAACGCCCTGCGACGGACAAAGATGCCCCCAAAAAGCCCCAACGGAACCCGCAACACATATCACGAGTACTAATGCTACCAATGTCCCCATGAATGCATGCCGGAGCACGTCCAAAAAGGGTGCGCGTGTAGTGTTTCGTACGTGTTCGCATGGGTGCGAACGAAGCACGTCCCAGAGAAAGCGCGCACCACGCGTGTCCCAATGGGCACGTGCCATGACAAGTCCCAGAGGTTGCGCGTGCATTGCGTGTGAGGATGATGCGACTCCTTGCTATAGTAAGAGGTGGCTGGAGAGGCTCCCAGGAAGCCTCCTTCTCCTCTGCCCTAGATCATCCTCCTCCTCCCTCTCCTGATCATCCGCTCCATGCTCCTCCAACTGTTCCCAGACAAGGTTTCCACTGCGGCTCTGGGAACGCATGCTTCGATAACTTATCCAAGCTCTGGATCCAAACGTTTGGCCACAGAGGCGTTTTGGAAAAGGCAGGGGGCGACGGTAATTCGCCGCAGGCGTCTTCTATCCGCCACCCCCTGGCGGCTTGCTACGAGGGCTCCTGGCGTGCCAATTTTTTAAAATATGTCTGTTGTTTTTAATCCCCCCGGGGCTTCGGCCCAGCGCGCCGGCCACCCGGAACATGTAAATGTCAATGCCTTTCTCGCCCCAAAATGGCCCAAAATGGATTCCAACATGCCTCCGAGACGGCTAAGAGGCCCAGCCCAAGAGGACACGAATCTGTTCCAAAACGGAACAGCCCAAGAGGGCCCCCAATCGGCCCGGAGAGGCTATCAAGACAGCCTAAAATGGCTCCCAGATGGCCCAAGACTGCCCAGAAGGCCCCCACGAGGCCTCCCCGAAGGCTCAAATAGCCTCCAAGAGGGCCTCCGGGAAAGCCCGAAGAGTCTAAAAACAATGAGTTTCCATAGGTGCTTCGGAGATTTGAACACGTGCTTCTTTTCGGTCTTCCGACGGCCCGGGACGGACGTAAAGCTCCCAGAGATCGCCCCAATATCGCCCAAAGAGAATTCCAAAATGGCCCGACCCGAGGCTTCGCCTATGGCGAAGCCCGTCCCCAACTCTGTTACACCGTAGAAACGGTAGTCCCAAGAGCAGGAGAAAGTCGCGGGAGCGACAAGCCATGTCAAGCGAATATGGTTCCGGTCTCAATGGCAGATAGTGCGCCTCGCGGTGAGGCACACTCAAGTCTTGGCGGCCCGCCGCTTGAACAAAAACGGCCGCGGACAAACGCTCGCTACCTCTCGCATTTGCCCAACCCTTTTTAGAGTCGCGCAAGGAGACGAAGCGAGAGTCCGCCGGCAGCTATACTACAAAACACTATTATACACAAGGTAGGCAGCAACAGGCGGGCTCAACAAAGGCGGGTTGACCCGGATACAAGTTACATTGCAGGCAAGTTACCTCGCAGGCAAGTTACCCTGCAAATAACTACTCCTCAGGTGGCTCAGATGATCTCGTCTGGCCAACCCTGTAGGGAGTGCGTCGTCTCAAGTCGCGCTGGAAGGGTTGCACTCCTCCCGTGACTTGTAAGAGCAATTCTCTGTCGATGCTCCCCTGGGCGTGGCCATCCGCAGTCACGTCGAGAGTGTCACACCACTGTGCGCAATGCACGAGACCTCGCTCCATCATTTGTCGTCTCCAACTGATGCATCCTACAAGTGTGCACTCAGCCGGCTTCTTCGAGTCTTTGCTTGACAAGGACTGGAAGACATATGCTGCATCAGTGGCCAAAGTGACCTTTATGCTCAGGCCGCGCATCTCAAGTATATCCTTCAGTTGAGTGAGTGTCAGCGGCCCTGCGTGGAGTTCGTGCAGAGTGACGGCCGTGGGATAGCAGTCCTCCAACTTGCGGGCGGCTGCAAGTGTTTTCGCTGAGTTGCCCGAGCGGACCTGCAAGCGATGAGACTTGCAGCGCGCGTCGCCAAGATGGGCGACGGCCTTGCCAGCATGCGAGCGTCCAAGCCTTGGCAGGTGTGCCCCGCACAGACCACCACCCTTAACTTCGCCGTCGGCATCTCCGTCCAGACGCCGGTAGCCGGAGTCGCTGCGCAGGTCGACATCGCCCGTGGGTGTCATCGCTTGATAGACGATCTTCTTAGGGCAGGCATGCAACTTCCTAGTAATCGCGCTCAGTCGTCGCACTTGCATGTTGGTCGGTTCTAGGACACGCTGTATTGATGCAATATATACCATCAGCCACGCTTGCGTGATCAGGGCGTCAGCCAAAGCGCATGTGAGGCTGACAAACATGTCAGTAACCATCTTCCATGCCTTGGCCTCAGAGTAACATGTCCGTCGCTGTCCTTCGCATATCGCACGGCACAAATGGTATATGTGTGTTCGTTGAGTTCACACTTCCCGAAAGTAACCTAAACGCGCGTGACCCACTTCTCGATGGTGTTCTCTGTGCCGGCCACGTTTCTGTGATCGACGTGTTTGGCAGTGAGAAGGTTAGAGCTCGTCTCGGGCTCCTCGTCGTAGGACGTGGGTTGGAAGCAAAAACCTCTGGTGGTCGCCCTGAGCTTCAGTGAGAAAGCTCTCGGTGCCCCCGTAGTACCAGTGCCTGGTTTGAGGCACTGCAAACACTGTCTCGAGTCATCCCAGCGCTCGAATCCTGGGGGAAATCTGCGTGGAGATGCCGCGCCAGGTGGCGATGTGAAACACACCGCGCGCTCTTTTTTTCACAATTTGCTTCAGCAAGCAGCTGCTACGTAAATCCCTGCAGGAAGACCATGTGGGTGTGGAAAGAGACAATAACCCGCTGCTTCTTGAACGCTGCCGCGCGAGCGAGCAATCGGAGGCTCGGCCGTCGCGCCGCCCCTGAGAACGTTTCCGCGTCGAAGGCTTTGAGGCCCATGTTGACCCGAAGTACCAATCATAATATGGTGGCGCGTTCCATCTCGCCCTGTTCTTTATTGACGAGCTTCCACATATATACGCACCTCGAAGTCATGTTGTTTGAACACTTGGATCTATCGTGTATATTGAAACACATGTTGTAAAACCATGTCTTGAGCTGAGTCGATAGGGCCTTCGACGCCTTGACTGGATTTGCCTGAATATCTGCCTTCGTGAGAAGGTTGCCTCCTTGACGAGCGCAGTTTGTTTAGCTACGGCGGTCACAAATACTCGCATAGTGGTCGCGCTGTTGTCCGGATGAGACTACCTTCGACACTTCTGCCGTAAAGAAGAGTTCTACGCATCGTCTGTGCTCGCCAGAGTCTAATCCGCAACTGTTAACTTCGTCCGTGGCAAACTGGGACATTACATGTCTCGGTCGTGTATATGTCCAGTGGGTTACCCTACGTAGGCAGGTGCCCCCACTGTTCTTCAGCTACTGTGGCCAGCACGTTGTTGTCAGAAATCAGGTGCGTGGGTACAGTAAAGAGATCCTCTATTGGAGTTGCATCCAACAGTTCCCTCTCGCCTTGTAGTTATGTGTCCACACTGCCGTAAATGTGAGCCTCGAGGACCGCTTCTGGTTCCTCGCAGACGGTGGGAAGCTGGCCGTCTTTCTGTGGTGGTTCGACTTCTGGGGCCTCCCTGGCGTCATTGCCCTGCGCTGGCATGTCGGCCAGTTGTTCGAACTTCGTCATGTCTTGATCGAAGCCCGCTTGAGGTTTGGTGGACTTCAGGCACTGGATGCTTCTTGACTGCGCTGATCCAACGTCGTGAAATTTAGGGCGGTGCCTTCGGCTTCGTAGTAGTGGAAGCCTGGGTTCACGTCGCTGTCATAGTGCACCAATGCAAAAATGCCAGCATACGTCCCCGGAAAGAACTCGTGAATGCTCTTGGCCTACCTAACAGAAGCTACGTTTACAATGC